AAAATTAAAGACCAAAGATATGAAGCTCATTCTCAAAATAATCTATGCTCCTCAGTTCTAAAATATATTTATTGCTGACACTTGCTTAGTCAAAGTACACAGTTACTCTTACGCAACTGCCATGAAGGAAAAATTACTATGTTTTATACAAATCCTGACTATAGCATTTGAAGTTGACAAGACTACAGAAGAAGCAATAGATCTCTTCTTTTCACACTCATGTTTGTATTTATTTAGATATCTTCTGATAAAATATAAGTATAAAACTGTTTAGTTTTCAAATTTCTTCATTATGTTGCGATTACTTTTGAACACTTGAACAGTATTGCCACGATCAAGTTTATAAATGCTTGAATCAACAACTACAAAGGTTGATTGAAAGGGATGTTGCCTTCACGGACAACTTGTTAAAGGGAAATTGATTAAGCAGTTCAACTAATGGTGATTTATGGCTTGAGACACCTTAAAACTTGTCATTGGTTAGCCTTTGAATGAAGGAAAACAAAAAGTTTTTAGTTATTTGTTTCGCATAGTAAATCAGTAAAGGTGAGAAACACTACCAGTTGTACTATGGTAAAGGAAATCTCATTTCATCTACTCTAAAATTTTCACTTGTACTTCTTGTATGTACATATTGTCTTCCCTAAAACATAAAATCTGAAACTTCTTCAATATAATCAAATCCCAGTAGTTTATGAAAATTTCCAAAGCTACTATATAGTCACATTAAGGTTATCTATGATTAAGCTGCATTTAGAGAAAAATTATGAGACCAAGGTTACGTCTTTCCCTTGTTAGAACAGAATGCGATCAAGACACAAAAAATAAGAAAAATACGATTAGGCAGAATCATTTTTACCTCCTACCATCCTATATAAGTAATGGCACAGGTAAGGAAGGTAATGCTTTAGGTCTAAAAATATGATAGTGAGTATTCAGTGAATAAGCATGAATTAGCTACAACACATTTTGCTATTTTTACAAAGATGTCTATAGGTAATAATTTTTTTTTTGTCCATGATAACTCTTATATCAAACTTCTGCTTTCTATATTTAAGCTTTTTTGCATTCATATAAAGAGTTGATTACATTTGAGGTAAAACTGGATGACCAGAAGCGATACTTTACTTGAAGTCCGCAAACATATGATTATGTTGGTATAAATAAATAATAATAATAATAATAAAAAACAGTTTTTACACATGACCAATTATACCTAATAAAATATACTCTAAAATTTCATATTCTATTTACTGTAACAACAAATTAGATTCTGTTTGATCAACAAATTAGATTTGATTTGTGTTTGATGAAATCAACCAGAAGAGATAACTACTTAAAGGTCATTGCTATTTACAACATGAAATTGGTAGGAGGTGATGTGCTGGCTACAGCAGTCCCCCTTTTTTTTTTTTTTTTTTTTTTTTGGTTTGTTTAGTTCTGATAAAGACGTGGCATAAGGAGGAAGACTAGGGAGGAAAGTTATGCAGAACAAGATATATAATACTAAAGAGTCGAGAAAAATGCGGAAATAAGCAATTCAGGTTTCAAAAGCAAACTGAATAAGAAAACTGTAAGATATTTTTCATATAATGCTTCTTGTCTATGAAAAGAATAAATTCCTTATAGGAAATCAAAAGAAGAAAGAAGTTTTCAAAGAATTTGCATTTAAAATAATGTATATAAATTGTGGCAAGAATATGATCAAGATAATTCAGAGTATTTCCCATGACTAATCTTTTCACAAAGATATTTTGCAGAAGAAAGTGAAAATTTCAGAAAAAAATGACTTTTTCAATTTAAATATATAAAAAGCAAAACTCTCAAAATTTGGTTTAAAAATACTTATTTTAGCACATATAAATAGCTTTTCAACATCAAAAGAAATTATAACCAAATTTAACCACTGCAAATGATGTTAAATCAATGCTTCTTGATGTAATAATATTAATTATGTTTCAGATATTTATATACTTTCTTATTCCTATACCTACTATTTTACAGTCTATCTGAATAACAAAATATTTTAATGGCACTAAAAAGAATTCATATTACACTATCTTTTAGCTTTCTAGAGTTAGATCAATTGGATTAAAATGGTATTTTTAATAACTATCATACATATCATTCCAGCATGTAATGCACATGCATAATTTTAAGCCACTTTTTTATTTTTAGGTATAATCGCCATATAACATGCACCCTTTTCTTTACAAAGAAACCTGAAAAATACACGTGTGATGCTCTTATCTTTTGAAGTCATTCATTCAAAGATTTTTTTCCAGGCTTTTGAACAATAGTACAATGATCTGTCAAGTGATAAGAACAATATGGGTGGGTTGTATGCAATGCAGAATGTGTACAAGAATGTTATTGTTTGGATTTGAAAGGATTCTGGAGGATATAATTTGGGATATTTATGCATGAATTTGAGGTATTTGGAGTCAGATGTTTTCTCTTTTTGTAGTCATTAGAAGCCATGATTTTGAAATGACCATCGAAGGCTTTAGTAGAAATACAGTTGATCTAAAGTTCTTTTTAGTAGTAAATGTGGCTCCTGCCTAAAGAAACACAGTGCTGGTTTCAAATGCAAAGCCAGTCAGTTTGCAAAAGAAATTGGAAATCATGCTGCAGCAAGGATGTTTGGCATTGGCGAAAGCTCCATATGTGAGTGGAAGAAAAATAAAACCACAACAATTATTTGCCAAAGAATAAATGCGCTTTGCACAAAAGAGTAACGAAATACTATCCTAGAAGAAAGTGTTGTGAACTGAGTCATGGCAAATTGCTAGAATGGATTAATTGTAACAAGAAATAACCTACCTCTATCTGCCTTGAAATGAGTGAAAAAGAATGCAAATGAAAGTTAAAATGTTAAAGCAACTTTCAGTTGATGGAAAATATCAATTTTATGAAAAAAAAAAATTTTTTTTCACAAAGGCTTCCGAAATATTTGGACGACAAATTCATAAGTTTCCAGAAGTATGTTATTGACCTACGAAGGAAAGAAAAAATATTTACTGTCACATTTTGGAAATATGGATAAAACTCCAGTAATGGTTGATATGATAGAAAATAAAACAAATGATGTTAAAAGGAACAAAAATGGTTCACATAAAAACAATAGGTCATGAAAAAACTCATCTCACCATAGTGCTTTCCTGCTTAGCAGATGGTACGAATTAAAACCCATGGTTATTTTTAAAAGAAAGATGATGGTGGTTTCACTTATGTTCACAAGAAATAATAGGTAGATGAAATGGTGGATAATTGTAGATAAATGCCTGGCTAAGCATCCTGTTGCCTTAAAGAATACAGAAAGTCTTCTAGTTTGGGATATGCTCAGATCACAACTAACGGAAAATATATGAAGATATTGTTAAAACAGTGTAATACAGACATGGCAATTCTTCCAGGCAGATTAACATCATTAGTTCAGCCTTCAGATGTGTGCATCAATAAGCCATTCAAAGAAAATTAAAAATGACAGTGGAATACAAGGCTGTTAGAAAGTGAAAAACAATTTACAAAAGAAAGCCAAATGTGTCATGGAAGTCTTGAAATAGTGTGTGAGTACATAATGGAATTAAATTAATTCTGACATAATTCAAAAGTCACTTAAAAATGTAGTGCATCTAACAATCCAGATGAAACAAAAGATGATTATTTATATATGGATCAGCATAACCATAATAGTGAAGATGAAACAGAATTTGATGATGTGCCTGAAGATATAATGGAAGATAAATATAAAGAACTTTTCATTTTATCCGATAATGAAAATTTGAAAGTTAATAAGTTATATATCATTTCTTTTAAATAAACAGCATTTAGATATATGTAGAAATCTAATTTTGGTACGCTTATCTTTTCCTTATTTTAAAATTTATCATTTTTATATGTAATAATGCACACCCATAAATTTTAATCTTATTTTTTGTATTAAAAGTGCATGTTATACACCATACTATATAGTATAGAGAAATATTACTACAAGTTGTAAGGATAAACCTAATTAACTATTAAACTACACTCTGTTTAACCTTCCTGTGCTTCCAGTGAATTCTCATTTTCACACTTAGCTAGAAACCTAGAATTCAAATACAGACTGAAAATAAAACTTAAATAAAAGGTTTATTAAAAGCTACCTCTTGTAGAAAAACTGCTTAAAAAAAAAAAAAAAAAGAAGACATTTGGCCACCACTACTTAACAGGTTATAGAAATCCTAATATTAATATACATGTACAACACTACAATAACTTCAAAATGCTAATCAACCGCATTCTCCAACTATCTGTGACTGCATAGACGTAGGCACTAGCAAATAATACAAGAATCACTCGCCAAAATCAGGTCAATGGCTCATGAAATAAACTGTTTTTCTTTATGTGTTGCCAAAAGTTCTTTCGAAATTACGTACTCGTCTGTTATTTAACCTCAATGTTATTAGCATGCTGATAGAAGAAACAGATGTCACAGAAAACAGCTAACATAAAAGTAATTAGCTAAAAGTAATTTTCTGTAAAATTTGTTTCTTCTATCAGCATGCAAATAACAGAGTTTAAATAACAGAAGAGTATGTAATCTAGAAAGAACTTTTGGCAACACATAAAGAAAAGCAGTTTATTTCATTAGCCATTGACCTGATTTTGGTGAGTGATTCTTGTATTATTTGCTAGTGCTTTCATCTATGCAGTCACAGATAGTTGGAGAAAAGAGGAGCTAACCTAAAAGTAATTAGCTAAATTAAATCTTACAAAGTGATGAATTTTTCAAACATTTGAAAATTAATAATTTAGTCAAAAATAATTGAGTTATTTAAAAAACATTGCATTTGTATAAAAATCAAAACACAACCGGTTGAAATTAGTAGCTTTTAGGAAAATATGTCAGAAAAGAAAACATGAAAAGATTTATTTTCATTTTTTTGGCCCATAATTCAAGAATTAATCCTTGAATGTTGATAGTAATATGAATTTGAAGGAAGGGGAACATACAGTAAAAGAACAAAAAACGTTTATGACTTTGCATAATACTGATGCAAATTTCTAGATACATTTTATTAAATTATTTGTGCGTGTCACATTATTTCATACTACTGAAGGCTGAATATTTTAGACTTAGGGATGAATTAATGAATGACAGTCAATTTTCTGAATTTAATCCAGAATCATTTATTACATTCGTAAAAAAGTTTGGGCTTTTTGTTTGGCATTCCACTTGAATGAGGTGATACATCATCAAACAGTCTTTTACTACACTTTTTGATGCCCATCCTTGCTGTTGGACTAGACAGAAGTTTGGAAAACAACTTTAAAGAAAGTCTTCTTTTGGTCTCAGGGGAACGTAGAATAAAATTGCCTAGAGCAAGTTCACTGTTTTTAGTAGCTATTATGTTTTTGTTAGTAGAAGGAGATGTAACTTTCAATTTCTTCAACAATGCCAATTTAGCTGAATCTAAGAAATAAATAAATAAATAAATTATAGAAACTACATAATTTTTCACTTTTCAACTTCATGATGACACATAACAACAACAGCTGTGTTTAGAAAAGTGAGAATTTAATATACATATAAATCATTATATATACTTGTTACACTGCTCCTGTAACATAGCAACCTAGTAGTAGTAGTTATTAGTGATTAACACTAAACTGGAAAAAAAAAAAAAAAAAAAAAAAAAAAAAAAAAAAAGCACAAAATGTATCAAAATGGCCTTAATTTAAAAATTATTAATCCACAAGAAAAATTACAGGAAGGGTTTAAAAAAAAACAACTAATGGAAATAAATTAGAATCAGATTTTTAAGACTGTTTTATATGGTCAATAACTTTTCTTTAAAATACTAATGAATATTTCAAGAATAAATTGCATAAAACATACTTACAATTAATTAAACACTAGCTATGTTAAACCAGCTTCATCTCAGTATATAATACATTGACAGCAATGGCACAGTGGCAGACAGGTATTGTATGACTAGCACTCTATCATTTAAATATTGAGATATTTGGCAGAATTTCAACTATGGTCATTCTGTTTGTTACTGATTTAATAATTGAAGATGACACAGGTAATCTGCTTAAAACAGTTTCAAGCAACAACTATCTGTCAAAATATAAGAAAGGGGAGATATTCTGCAAATCATAATTTAGAGTTTTGGATCTTAAAGTGTTTTTTAATTAGATATGATGACTAATTCAGAAAAGAACACAATAGGATCAATGATATAATTTAAGCATATTTTTATTAAAAAGGAGATAAAAATGAGATTCTTAATGAGAGATTTTTCAAAGGCAGTTTTCTAATCTTATTATCAATTATTAATTTATTTTTACTTTGCAATCATAAGCTTGTGCCATTATTTTAAACTGCAATTGTAAGTCAATTTGCATTAACATTTTAATTAAATGCTATCAATTTTAAATTACAGTCAAATACCAGTAAGATTTCTTAATTGCTTTTCTAGTTTTCGACACACCAAACAAATCTGTAATATATCATATAGTTCCTTATGTCTAGGTGACAAAATATGTTGTTGAACACAATTGCTGTTTAAGCTTCACCTTGTTTTAGTAGATTATGGCAAAACACGCAAGGCTGTCTGACCCAAGATGGATGACTTCATGAAAGATTTTTTTGGGGAATTGACTCACATTCACACTATATATGGGTAAACCATGAAAACACCCATGTAGTTAGACTAGCTGCCAGAATCTTATTCTGGATTGAACTACTATTGTTTGTTGGTTTTATCCAACAGCTTCTGGTGGGCCTGAGTGTCAAAACATTTTGACAGGTAATAGAGTGGATAAAATCAAACTTTTTTTTTTTTTTTGTTTCCAGAGAAAGCTCTTCAAAAATGTTTTTGTCAGAGAAAGCTATGCCACAAAAGTACTTATAAAGCTACAAATATGCTAAATGGATTTCTTTTCAAAGAAAAAATTCTTTAGTAAAAAAGAATATTCTTTGGCAAGACTATTAGAAGTGTTTTTAATGTATGGGAAGTTCACCTCCACTGAAACTTATTTACCCATATCCTGTAAATATGTGCCATCAACCTACAAGAACCACACAATGAAAAACAACTGTATTATTATCAATTCTTCTTAAATGTGTCATTGACAATGACAAAGTTGTTCCAGAGAGGTATTTTTTTACTGACCTGAGTGGGTATATGAAGAGTTGCAATTGTAAAATATGATCTTAGGAGAACTTGTATAGGGTAAGCTTATAGCTACAGCATTCCCTTAAAATTGAAGTATCATGTAACCTACCTGTTCGAAATTTCATAGGTCCTATTTTTCTCCTCAGACAGTTATTTGACAACAGAGCTAGTTATTATCAAGAAATGATCATGTATTTTATAGCTTTCTTACAAGAACATAAGATAACATTGTTACATGTTTGTTCAGTTGGGAAAAAAGAGAGAGAGAGAAGAGTTACTTGCATTACAGAAAGTATGCTTCGAGGAGGAGTTTCTACGATAAACTAGTTTATATTCATATTGTGCTAAAACCCACAAAAAGTCTTACACAGTCAATCTGTTCATATTACTGAATGCTATGAAACTGAATAACTGTACACATACAACAAGCAACAAATATGCAATTTCTGTACAAGCTCTTTCATAACTGAATGCTTCTTATAGTTTATGCCTTCTTCTAATACTAAACCTTTGTCCTGATTTTTATTTATGGGAACATTTTAAAAGAAAACATGTACTTGAACTACCTGCATATATTTGATGAATTTAAAAATAATATTGAAGATTGTACCCTTTGCATAAATGATGTAAATAGAACACATTCAAAATAACTCAAAAGCAAATATTCAGCTTCAAGGAAACAAAATACAGATTCAAGTTTTTAAATAAAGAAGAAATAAAAAAATAAATTGGTATTAAATTGCCAGACAAAAAATACCTTTGGGAATTTTTGAAATTTGTGGAGACTCCGCCACTTCTCTCTGAGAGGATTTAACTTCCATAGATGCTTTTCTCCTCTGTAAGGCTGAGAAATTTTGCTTGTGTGAAGGTGTCTCAGCAACAAAACTTGCTTTTAGACTATGTTTACCTAGCACAAACGTTTATAAACATTTAGTTTGAAAAAAAGCCTGGTTAAGGAAGACAAAAAGATATAAAAAGTTATTTGTAAATAAAATCTATAAGCTGCATAAAATGAGATTAATATATGTATTTACATATATATTTTTGGCTGCAATTTTTAAAGTGAATTTTTTCATATGTAGTAGTAATTCACTTTATTGTTTGTTGTTTCAAACCTCTTTTATCTTAAACAACATGCATAAGTGAAATTATTCACAACCTAGCTCCTCTATTTCTTAACTTAAACATAATTTGATTTATTAAAAATTTACATAGTAAACCAAAGTTAAGCCTATACACCAGTAAAAACAGTAATTTTTACAGATGTATTTAAATTTCTTTTGTTAAAAAATTTTAATTAAAATTAGAAATTTAATTTCTTTTGTTATGGTGATTACTGAATGCTAGATGAATCTAATACATTAAAAAAATTCATATTTCATAAAATCTGAGCAATAACAAAAAACAAAGAAGTAAAATTTATACACAACTGTTTCAATTCTTTTAAAGCACAAGAAATAATACGTATACTCAGACACTGTATCTATTGTTTTGTAAATCAATTACGAATTAATTTAATTTTTATTTTTTAAAACTTGGCATCCAAACTAAAAAAAATCCCTTGTCACACTTACTCAACTTGTTTACAGATAATTTAAAACAATAAAGTGTTATACATGTAACTGTAACTGTATCTATTATTATCTGTAACTATAACTGTCATATAGTATAGTAGATGAGTAATGTAGAATAAACGATGCTTGTGTACATCTTGTAATCATCACTGAGCACGTACCCAACACATATAAAATACAACACATGGTGCAGCTCATCCTTGATTAAAAAAAGAAAATCTTTTTTGAAGAACCATAAAGATGTTCTAAACAAAAACATCATGGGAAGTTGTTTACAGTGAAATCGAAAATGATATGGCTGGTAAGTGCGTTGTTTATTTTTATTGGAAGTGGCTAAAAATACGTATATATAAACTATTTAAAGTCCTAAATTAAATATGGATGGATTAAAGCCACCAAGTAATCTAAGTTTCGAAGGAAATTTAAGCGAAAATTGGAAGAAATGGAAACAAAAATTCCAAATTTATATGTTTAGCTTCTGGTGGTATTACTAAATCACCTGAAATTAAAGTAGCTATTTTATTGCATATAATTGGTGAAGAAGCACTTGAAAAATTTAATACTTTTAATTTAAGTGAAGAAGATAAGAAGGATGTTGACAAAGTAATTGAAGCTTTCGAAAATTTTTGCATACCGAAAGCAAACGAAAGTGTTGATAGACATATATTTTTCTGTTGAACACAACATGTAGGTGAATCGTTTGATGATTTCTTAACCGATTTAAAGAAATTAAGTAGCAACTGTGGATTTTCAGAATTAAAGGATTTTTAATAAGGGATAGAATAGTAGTGGAATTCTAAATAAAATCTCAAAGATATATTATTAAGGGAAGATCAGTTAACATTGGAGAAATGTATTAAAATGTGTAAAGCTTCTGAATTAGCAGAACTTCAGCTGAAAACTTTAACTGAAGAAAATAAAATAGAAGTTATCAAACGTAATAAATTTTGACCTACTATCATGTACTACTACTACTTAGACTATCATGTAAAACAAAAGCAACAAAGTACTAAATATTCTTCAAACTATCAAGGAAATAAGTACAATAATCCAAAACCATGTAGAAAATGTGGAACTTTTCATAAGTTATACAAACTGTTCCTGCTTATAATAGATTTGCTTGTACTGTAAAAGAAAAAATCACTTTTCTAAAATGTGCACTTTTAAAAATGTTAATGTTGTACAGAATAATTTAGAGCATGAGATACATAATAATGGTAATGAATATATTTTAGGGTCAGTAGAAGATACAATCCATTTTCTAAAAATAAAACCGAATGGTTTGAAAAACTAAAAGTAAACATATCTAAATATTTATTTGTTAAGTTGGATACAGGAGCTCAATGTAATGTGCTACCATTGCCTAAATTTAAACAATTAAATTTAAGAGAGAAATGTTGACTAAATCAAAGTCACTTTAATAATTACAATGGTACTACAATTGATGTAGTTGGAAAATGTAAATTATTATGTGAAACATCGAAAGGGGACAAGGATGAAATAGAATTTCAAGTCGTAGCATGTGATAAAACTGTTCCAGCTATTTTAGGTTTACCTACATTGCAAAAATTAAACCTAATACAAAGGATTTGTACAGTAAATCCTGATTCTAAAGAAAAGTTACCAGAACTTTTAAAAAGATATCAAGATTTGTTTAAAGGAACTGGGAATTTAACTGGATATACATATTGTTGCGTGCGTACGGGTTCGTTATGAAATGAATGCACAAGTCCGATGAAAAATGAACAAAAATTTATTATTATCACAACAAAAATGCTTAAATTTTCTCAAATTATCATGCAGTATTACAATATCTCACAGTAGTTATCTTTTAACTACTCAAATGTACAATAGAACGTAATTCAAAACAGCTAAAGAACGCTAATCCGTGAATTCGCTATAATCAACAACAGCAGTTTTTCTAAACAACAACAAACTAAGCAATTCCTACAAACTGAGATGTTTTCCTCCTTTTATACGATTTTAAAATCACGCGCTAGAATTTTCCAGTACTTTCTCGAAATCAAAAAGAGATATTTATTTATTTAATGCACGCGCTCTTGTATTTTCAATTTTCCGGCTTAGCTTTCTTTTAATATTCGTCACGCGCTGCAATGCGCGAGAAATAAAACCATTTAATTTATAATTAAACTAACATTAGCTTTTTAAATACCAAATTCGTAACACTGCCCCCTTCCCAAGGACTGCACGTCCCGGGCAGTACAATCCCTGGACAGGAAGCTAAACTTACAAACTGTGGCATAAACATTACATTACAATATCAAACAACATGAACAATAAATGCAATAACTAACTTAAACAAATCAAATGCTATCAAATACTAAATACAAAACAAATACTAAATACAAATCAAATACTAAATGCAAATCAAATACTAAATACAAATCAAATCAAATACACATTTAAAAACAAAAAGGACCATGGTCTGATACTATTTACAATTATTTACATTACGTACTATAGCCATAGTAATAAGCTAACCTGTTGTAAGAGTTCGAAGACTCACGGATCCGAACCACGACGTCATTCAGCCGTGTTTCAGGCACTGTGTATGGTGACCATCCCAAGGTGACTGCAATTTAGGCCTCACTCCTTTTCATCGAATCGAATTGGGTTCCACAACCACACCTTGTCTCCTTTGTTGGATCTCTGTCTAGTAGCTTTTGTGTCACATCTGGTCTTCATCTTCTCCGTCGCCAAGTTGACTCGCTTTCGTGCAGAACGGTGCATCCCCTCAAACCGGGCCTGGGCATCTTGGATGTGTTCCTCAGGCGATGAAGGCGCATCCGTAGGGTGACTAAACAGGCGGTCACAAGGCAGACGAAGGTCTCGACCGAAGAGCTTCTGGGATGGAGAATAGCTGGTAGTCTTGAGTTTCTTTTCGACCCTGGTATGATTTCGGCAGCTTCCCGAGCTAGATCTTTCGGACAAGGCGTCGATATTTCCAGGCGAGGATCCCTTTTGAGGATGGATAGTCATGCCATCAGATGCTGAAAGCAGCTTATTGTTTTTGAAATCTAAGGAAAAATTGTATTTCCTTAAAAAGTCCAATCCGAGTATGCATGGATCTGTAATATCCGCCACATATGCCGTGTGATGGTAGGCGGCACTTCCAAACGTGATGTTTACGTTTAACTTCCCAGTTATGTCGATCTTGTCACCAGACGCAGTCTGAAGGGTAACACAGGATGGCGTCCAAATAAGTTTATCTTTAAACTGTCAGCTAAATCTTTCCTAATGATGGTAACATTAGCTCCTGTGTCAATGATCATATTGCAAGGAACTCCATCGATATTCCCATTGATGGACAGTCCGTTATTGTTGCCACTCACTATAGAGATCTTAAGCGCTTTAAAACAGGGTTTTTCATTATCTGGCAACCTCCGTTCCTTGATATGGTCATTAATTTGTTTCCTGCGTCGTTGCTCAGAAATTGTTTCAATTTTCGTACCCTGGGGTGTTCTGCAATTCTTTCGTACGTGGCCTTCAGCTCCACAGTTCCAGCACTTTGGTTTCTTGTCAGTCCTTTTCCTTCCCGTGGCATTTAATTGTCTGTTTAAATCATATGCCTTATTTTCCGTGCTCTGGGGGGTTCTGCAGTTCCTTCGTAGGTGGCCTTCAACACCGCAATCCCAGCACTTTAGGGTCGGTTTTGTTTCACCACTCTTCCGTCTTAAAGCATTCACTGGTCTTGTCAACTCATCCGTTTCATTATCCGTGCCCTGGGGTGTTCTGCAATGCCGTCGTAGGTGACCTTCAGAACCACATCTCCAACATCTTACAGCCACTTTGTTCTCAGTGCTACTCCGTATCAAAGCATCGACTTGTCTGGATAAATCATCTAAATGAGCCATCAATTGGTCCCCTGGGTCGTGGACACGCACAGCTCTGACTGGGTAGCGATCCCTAAGAGTTGCTTGCTGGGCTGCCTCCAATTTCACGGCGTACAACAGAGCGCTTTTTACATCATTTACATCTGCCATTCGCACTACTTTCTGTATTTCAGGGTCCCGGATGCCATCGATGAAATATTGCAGCGACAGAATTTCCCTCGTTTCTCTCGGGCACTCCGTAAATGCGAGGTGGGACAGCCTTTCAACATCCGTGGTGAGTTCCTGGAGTGATTCTGTGGGCTTCTGTTGACGGGATTTTAATTGAAGCCTGCTGTAGTCTTTTAAACATTTCTCGCTAAAGCGCAGCTCCAATGCGCCAGATAGAGCTTCGAAGTCAAGTCTTTGGTTTTCAGGAAGCGTCTGCAGGATATCCGCTGCGTCTGCTCTCAGCGAAGCGGCGAGATGACAGGCCTTAGTTT